CCCTCCCTTCTTTTCTCACCCAATTCCATGTTTTAGATTCTATTACTTTTAGTTCCCTGACTTCTGGGTATCACATTGTGTTATTTGTTTGGGGGTTAATTCAGCTAGTTAGTTGGATTTGGAAAAATCCAGAATAACAATGATTAAACAATATGGGGATTTGTTTTTTCTTTTCTTTTCTGTTCTTCTCCTAAGTAATGCTGGTGTAAGCCCCATGCAACAATTTCTACTTTCATCTCATTGGCCAAAACTATGGTGTATACTATCCATACCTCCAAGAAAGGCTGAGTTTTCGTTGACTATATCACACCCAACAAAATAAAGGAAGAAAGAGAGAATGGGTATTAGGTAGAAAGGCACTGGCTTCTGACACAAGGCACCTATTTATTACGTGAGGTCCATTGGTGGCCGTGGAGCAGCGATTACAGGGCAGAGTGCTAGCCTACATGGCCAAATCCAGTGTATCTGGGTTCTAGTCCTGATTAGACTTAAAATTAGCCTCTCTAGTCCTTATTTAGCCTCTCTGATTTTGTCATTTATCGGAGTTTCTAAAAAGGAGATACTAATAATATCTCCCTAGAGTATTGTTGTGGCAATTAAATAAGGTAATCAGTCCTTGGAAAGTGCTCATTTAGAACAGTGTCTGAGTGTGGTTATGCTCAGAAAACATTAGCCATTAGCCAGTGTTGGTAAAAATAGGGTCAGATGCCCTTGTTTTATAGAGAATGAGACAGTGGGGAAGCATCTAGCTCAGTGGGGGCATTTCCCCCTCCCTCGCTCTTTTGTCGCCACACCTATTCCCCACACCTATCCCTAGGCAGCCAAGCAGGCTCTCATCTCAGGGTCTTTGCATGTGCTGTCTCCTCAGCAGGCAACAGCCCACCTACAGAGATTCTCTCACCTCAGCCCCTCACTTTATTTAGGTCTCTTCTCAGACGGCCTTTCTTAATCCCCTCATATTTCCGTCATTCACTAAGCATTGACACTACCATAATTCTCTTCATACTATCAATCCCCATCTGACATTATAGTATTTTGTGTTTACTAATTTGCCACCATCACAATACAGGCTTCATGAGGCTTTGTAGGAACATTGTCTGTTTTGTTTAGGACCCTGCATGTGACAGGCACTCAATTGAACATCTGTTGAATGAATAGTAAATATTTAATCAACATTAGTTTATTTTTAAAATGTGAGATTTTCTAAAAGTCAAAATAGGAATCCAGTCCAGCAGAAAAGAAGACTAAGGAACTTGGAACTTAGCAGAGTACAGAATAGGAGGACATCAAGAATTCAGGACAATCGCGAGGAGTTAGTACAAGACAGCCCAGTGTGAATCTGTCTTTGAATAAGGTCTGGATAAACCCAAGGACCTTTTTGTGCACCCCCCTGCCAGTTTCAGGAGTTAGCCCATGGACTTCAGGTGGCTCTGGGGCTGTGACTTCGGCCAGATGATTGGTTTCACTTCATTCAGTGTTTCTCCATCTTTTGCATTCATGTCCTGCTCTCCTCACCCTGGAGAAAAAACTTAATTTAAATTCTAACATAAAATATTAGATATTAAGGGGTAAGATTCTGTCATATAGGATTGAACTTTGCAGGCAGGCATTAGCCATTACAATATCTAAGATTTGTTGGCCTCCTCAATCCAGAACTACTTTTCACCCCCTTTTGGGTGATACTGCCCTGCTGCCAATGTGTAGTGTAGCTGAAAGAGGATCTGAGAAAGTTGGTAGATTCTAAACACAGTATCAAAATCTTTTAAGAAGGATTCATTTTAAATTTTGAATGGCTAAGGCTGTCAGCTTCAGGCAAGTCAAAATTAATTTAAATTATCATGGCTGTTTGCTTTGAGATGGGACTCTAATTGGAGAATTATGTATGATAGACAAAAGTGAACTGGAACATTCAGTGGACCTTCATGTCTACAAATTCTGCTCCCTGTTGAAATTGATCTTCAAGATGAGAAGCATTTAGACCTCTGCACAGGTCAGCCACTGAGGGACGTTGTATTTGTAATTAGTTGCAGGTTTCTGTTCTTCTGAAACTTCTTTGGGTCAATGTTCTGTATACTGGAATGTTTCATTGGATGTTGTGAAAGAACCACTCATAGTATTGCAAAATTGTGTATCTTTTCTAATGCCCTGAGTCATTTCAAATCATTGTAGTAGATTGGAATGCTTCTACTCCCCTTGTTTATAGAAACAGGAAAAAGACTTGATAGAACAGGGGGCTGGAAGGATTACTGGAAAATTCCCAATGATAGGCATGGAGTTCAAAAAGTTATATAGTCCATGAACACCAAAATAAGACTAAATATCTTGAAATAATTTTTCCTTTTCTGAAAACTCCTTCCGTGCCCCCACAGCATTCACAGTCAGAGGGTGGGCCCCCAGGATGATATCTCTTGGCCCTGCTCCATGTTGAGCCAACCAGCTTTGCTCACCTCTAGCGTATTAACAACTTTTGAGTTGCAAAGTGCAGGAAACAACTCAAGGTAAAGTTTATTTTCGTTTAAAGGGTTTTCTTATCTTAGTTTTGCTTTACCTTTCTTCTTTTTTCCTAAGTAGTTACATTTTTTAAATGTGATTTAATGTAAGGATTGATACAGTCATTCAGGTTGAAGAGGAGGGTAACAATGCAGCCCTATCTAGGGTGTCTGAAACTAAGACAAATTTTTTGTTTTTTCCTCTTCCAGGAATACTGTGGGGAAACCAGAGTGTTCTCTCCCCAGTCTTGCACCTCTGCCTTCTCCTAATTAATTTTATTTTATTTCTTGGCAGGATGGCTTTCCTTGCTACTTTGCTACTCAGTTTACAGCAGGTAGAACATTGCCATCTAGAGCCCCTAGTTCAAAAGTTATAGTTCTCTTCAAGACGAGACCCTCCCTCTCTCTCAGTCCTAGTGCTTAGTTCTCAGGGAAGAACTGTGTTCCAGCTTGTATGAGATCCCAGCTCTGGACCCATCACCAGGGGCTGGGGGGCTTATATTATACAACCATGGCTTCCAGGAATGTACCTTTGTCAATTCTGTTAAGAGAGTTGTCATAGACTTATTACACACTGGTTTCCCCTCATTTAGGCATCTCCCCACCAGACTATGAAATCCTTTAGGGCGAGGAATTTGCCTTATTGATGGTATATTTTCAGTGCCAAGTTCAAAGCCTGGTTCTTAATTGATGTTCAGGAAATATGTATTGAATGAATACAAGTTGACAGCAAGAAGAAAAATTCTCTAGGGTTTTCTTCGATCAGATTTATTTAAAGAGCAACTTGCCCAAGATATTTACCCTGTTTTCATATGTATGCGACCATCTGAACTATGACTAATATCCTGAATCATTGACCATTAAAATTATAATTTCCAGGGTATTTAAAAAATTGTTTTAAATGATTGAGAGTCTACAAGTTGATGGCACTGTGCTGGGATAGGGAGTACACCAGTGAATGAGACACTGTCACTGTATTTGAGGACCTCTCCAGACCTTGGAGATCACTTAGCTTAACTTTCTCATTTTACAGATGAGAAAATGGAGACTCATAAAGATTGCTAGGCCTGATGGAAAATGTTTTGATTTATTCATAAGATTTTAATATGTCTGTGTGGAGTCACTTTGCAGTGAGAGGTGTTACTTGTTTTGGCCAAAGGGAACATTCAGTTTTTGTACATTTATGGATTATCTTTTCTTTGATCTTGCGTTTCTTTTTTAATAGGCATGTGATTATGTAGATGATATTTGCTAAGCTTTTGATTTATTTGGAACCTATTAATAGCTGGTACTCAAGTTCTTTGGAAGCTCAAAACTTGCTATGTTGGAAATTTCTTTATGGTTACTGAGTAATAAGTCCGTGTATTACTGACATGGCTTCTGACGCCTCTCCCATTTATTATTATTCCTTGTTAAATCTACTTCCTGAGAAAGCTGGAGAATGTTTTCCATCTTAGATGGCATAGTTTATGTTGCCTTTCTCTGGGCGAAAGTGAAATTCAGAGAAGAGAATGAAAAGAGTCATTTTTCTGTGTTTACGAAGGATGGAGGTAAACGTTTTCTTTGGTGGATTGGCAATGGAATTCAATCAGCCTTTCATTGTGGGGACGTATTGTGTGCCAGGCACTGTGCAAGATTCAGGGGGGGCCAGATTGCTGCCAGCTCTCATGGGGGAGACCCGCCTGCTGCAGCTGGCAATGCAGAGGGGATGCATCACTGCTCTAAGCAGTGTGGTCAAGGGCAAACCAAGGAGAGGCCAAGTCTCCGCACCCAGAAGCATGGAGAAACATTTCTCTGGAGGAGATAGCTTTGGGGTTGGACTAAGAGTAGATCAGTTGCAACAGTTTACCAAAAGAAAAGAGGAGAAATGACTAATAGCTACAGGGTGCATAGGGACATGATCCCCTCTGAGGCTATGCGATGAAGATGGAATGATGGCTGAGCTTAGGATGGGTATTGTCCTAAGCCAGAGCCCAAATCTCTCCGTGCTGTTGATTGGCTCTTCCTCTTTTTGACATCATTGTCAGTCCTGGAATGGAGAGACTTCCTGTGTATGCAGTTGAGCTGAACAAGACAAATGGAGATAGATTTTAACTCCCTAAGAATGTAAGCTCTTACATACGTCTGGAACCGCTCTAACAGTCTTCTAAGGAGTCTTTCACATAGCCTCCTGGTTGGATATGAGTTTGATGGGAGGTGTTTTAGAAAAAAGTCCTCTTATTTCCCTGATGATCAGGAAAACTTACTGGGGAAAGTCATTGTTCCAGAGGTTTCTGTCTGGGGGAAGAGTGTGTATGTATGTGTGCATCTGTATATCTGTGTGTCTGTGTCTGTCAGTATGTCTGTGTATACAGGGTGGAGGAATCTTAGCTGGGGAACGAGGAGAGGCATGAGTTTCCTGGCTCGAAAAAGCAAACATAGTCCTTCTGTATTACAGGAGGCCATGTGTTCTGTATCAGAGGGCTCACAGTTGTGACCCAAATTTTTTGTTTTTTTCCTCTTCCAGGCATAAATGGGACCAGGTGAGGTCATGCTTTGGCTGCTGGAGGCATACCCCATTTCTGGGTCATTTGCATGGGCCCCGCTGTGAAAGGAACCAAGCAAGAACTTGTCAGACACTTCCGTCCTTCTCTTGGTGAGCACTCCAGGCACAGCAATTATCCCACTGTGGTTCTAATTGTGTCCTGTCCTCCTCTTGCCAAAGCAAACAGCCCAGTCTCAAGTAGGCATCCTTTAGGCTCATCTGCCAGCCTGAACATGAACACAGGCAAAGCTGATGATAGCCAGGGTTCCCAAGGGACATGGGGCCTTCCAGGGTCCAGCCCCCAGAAGCAGGTCCTCTCATGATGTTGGTGTCTGGGAGTGAGCACCATGCCCATCACCCAGGACAATGCCATGTTACACCTGCCCCTCCTCTACCAGTGGCTGCAGAACAGCCTGCGGGAGGGTGGGGATGGCCCAGAGCAGCGGCTCTGCCAGGCGGCCATCCAGAAGCTGCAGGAATACATCCAGCTGAACTTTGCTGTGGATGAGAGTGCGGTCCCACCTGACCACAGCCCCCCAGGCATGGAAATCTGCACTGTGTACCTCACCAAGGAGCTGGGGGACGCAGAGACTGTGGGCCTCAGTTTTGGGAACATCCCTGTTTTCGGGGACTATGGAGAAAAGCGCAGAGGGGGCAAAAAGAGGAAGACCCACCAGGGCCCTGTACTGGACGTTGGCTGCATCTGGGTGACAGAGCTGAGGAAGAACAGCCCGGCAGGGAAGAGTGGGAAGGTCCGACTGCGAGATGAGATCCTCTCACTGAACGGGCAGCTGATGGTCGGAGTTGATGTCAGTGGGGCCAGGTGAGTGGGGCAGTTGGCACAGGGGCTGGATGGAGGACCCCTGTGGCTCACTTAATGTCTGCTGCTCCAATCTGTAGCTACAGAGGGTTATGAGACCTACTCTGGTAAGAAGCCAGTGACAATTTATCCTATAAAGGGAAAATACACTAAGTTCAAGGATTGTGGTATTTGTATTTTTCTTTTTTTGTTTCATTCTCTCTTAGAGGACTCAGACTCAGAGTATTTTCTTTTTTCCGGACATTTGGGTCAGAAATAAAAGAAGTGGTACATGACATAAGAGTATGAGAAATGTCATATTGAACCTGTACCTCTGAAAACAATAATACATTATATGTTAATTGATTGAATTAAAATAATTTTTTTTTAAATTTAAAAAGTAAATATTTGGAAATATAATGGTAAAAAAAAAGAAATGTCACATTGAGTTAGATTTCCTTCCTCTCAACCCAGCATCTCCCCTCTAGTTGGAGCACCAAAGGTTTGGTCCTGGATGTATTTCTATCTTCCTGTCCCATGTCACCTTACTCACAGACTCATAGTCCAGAAGCCCTTTGAGATACTTAGAACTATCTTTAGACCACCAGCCACCCCTGCCTTTGGCCCCAGTTTTCCCATCCTGGAAAATCCACTTTATGATGAGCATATTTCTGTTTTTCATCTGTGTGGCCACCCATCATGGCAGTAAGTTATGATTGGACTGTAGTTTCCCAGGTGAATCAGAGTCCCCAAGACCACCCTCAGCCTCAGTGATTTACTAAAAGGATTCAAAGGACTCAGAAAAACTCAGGGTTACAGTTTATTACAGTGAAAAGATACAGATTAAAATCAGCAAAGGTAAAAGGTACACAGCGTGGGGTCCAGGAGAAAGAATAGGTGCGAGCTCCCAGTTGTCCCTCCCAGTAGAGTTGTACTGGGAAGGGCTCAATTCTCCCAGCAGTGACATGTGACAACATCTGTGGAGTATTGTCAACCAGTAGAGCTCATGAGGCTTGGCACCAGGGTTTTTCTTGGGGGTCAGTTACCCAGACATGGAGTGCCTGTGTAGCTGACCTTAGTTACTCAGTGTCCAGTCCTTCCAGAGTTCAAACTAATGCCACATGGCCCAATGCCTCTGCCATAAATCACATTATTAGCATAAACTATCTGGTATCAGGCAGACTATCCCAAGGGCATAGAGGTTACCTCCCAGGAGTTAGTCAAGAACCAGTTCTTTCTTTAGAATGGACATGGGTTGAATACCCCAATTTGCTGTGTTAACCCTTTACACACCAGGGTTTTTGTAATGGTTATATGTGGAAGAGACAAGAAAAGAGAAGTTTGAAGATACTCTGAGACACATAACTTTTGTCAAGCCTTCAGGGGCTCCTGTGAGGAGGGCTTCTCTGTCCCAAGAGAAGAGAATCATGGAGAGAGGGTCACCTTGAGAATCATGGTGACCTTTCAGTGAGGAAGACATCTAACCCAAGGAGATCCTGAAGGGAAGAAGCCAGAGCAGAAGTATCTTAAGTTTAATCTTTTCCTTCCCTTCAGTCTTCTACCAGAGCTTTCCATTGGCAGAAACCAGCCAGAAGCCAGTGACAAGGGAGCCCATGGAGACTGTCCACATGTGTCAATCTGGGGCAGAGGGCAGGGTAGAGAATGGGGGAGAGTGGGCACAGAGGGGCAACAAGAAGTCATCAGGCACATATACTGTGGTCTAAGTTTAAATGAACCAATGCATGGAATAGTCATAGCACAGGGCTGGCTGGCATGTGTGAGTACTTACTCAGTAGACTCTCACCAGTATTATCTTTGGGTTGCCTATCTGACTGAAGAGATGTTCTTGGCTCATGGCTGGGTCCTGAACTGGCAGTTATCGGGAGAAGCTTCATTTTCAAGGAGGGGTGTTGAAGAGAAATTATTCTATTTAAAATTAGAAATTGTTCTTAGAAAAGAAACAGGACTGGCCACTGTAGTATTCGTTGGTGTTGAGAAGGTGACCTCCAGTCCCTGGTGGCTGAGTCCTCAGGGTTAGAAGCAGGGATCAACATGGAGCTTGAGGCAGCCCTCCCAGAGCTGCCGCTGAGAGCCCCCACCATTTGCAGCTGTCAGCTTTGAGGGGAGCTGCTTTGGATGCAGAGGCAGAAGGAAGAGCAGGGATGGGACATCCAGTAGGAGAGCATAATGGTCAAGAGCTCCAGCTCTGGAACCATACAACTAGTTCTGCCTCCTCAGGCTCCCACACTTACAAGCTGGTTGACCTTGGAAAAATCATCCCTCTTAGCCTTGGATTCCCTGTTTGTGACATGGGAATAACACTACTGAACCAACGCAATACAATAATGCATATAAAGGGCTTAGCCCTATGTTTAATACACAGTGTTCAATAAAATATTAGCCTCACAATGACTATTCTATATGGAGAGTGTTTGCAAAGACTGGGAGTTTCTTATCCAAGAGGTTGCTAGAGTCTTTAGGATTTGGAAGAGTGTTTCCATACTGGATAAGTTTTCTCATATCTGTTAGGCTCCTTAATGGAGGCTCCAAGGAGGAGGCAAATATGGTGCGATAGGGGAAGCAGTAAACTGTGTCTGGGATTCTGGGTTCTCTCCATAGGTCTTCTAGCAATTTTAGCTTTGAGACTTTGAGTAAGTGTGTTGGGATGTTGGAGTGAGGGTGGGAGGGAGGTTAACTGCAGCTGCCTATGCTAATGTATTAGGAGTGAATCTCTGAAACATTTTATATGACCCACCTGAGCTGGTTTTATCATTCTAGAAGCTCACAGAGGTGAAGCAGTGTTCCCGTGATGTCACAGTGATAACTGGCAGAGCTGAGAGACTCAGTCTCTCTCTTCTGACTCCCAGCTAGGGGTGGTACCTGATCCAGCACACCATTCCATTTCTGTGTGGTCAGGAAGAGATATTTGGATGGATGTGGTCAGTGGGCATCTGGACTGAAACAGCTGTAGTCGAGGAGCTTGGAGAATGGAAATAGGACAAAAGGTCGGGAAACAGGTCTGTGAGATTGCTAATTGTTATGCCTGGGTGTTCTCAAATGTACCTGGGATTTGTTTTAATCAAGTATGATAAGACATGCAGACAGGAAAATGACTGTCATAAAGGAAGAAGTTTACACTTACAGATCCCTAGAAACAGGAGGAAAAGCACACCCTTCAGGGCTTCATGGAGAAGCAGCAATGTTAGTCAGGAGGCAGGGGAAGAAGAAGGGAGAACATGGCCCAAAAAAGTCTTTATTGGGGTTTTCAAGGGAAGGTTTGGGTGAAGCATGGTAGCTACTCTGAGCAATCTTAGGATTTGGTAGTTGGAATAATTTCAGCAGACTCTGAGCTATAGGATGGTCTCTAGTTGTCTAGTACTTGGCCTGGGATGACTTAGGGGCAATATTGTCTTGATGTATGAGAGTCTGACAAAGGAGAGAGTTGGGGTGTGGGCTCTGGATTGGTAGATTTGTATATCAAAGGCACACTTTCAGGGGAGTTGTTTGCTATTTCTAGGAATTGGCTAAACCCTGGGAAGGTCAGTCTCTCTGGAATCAAGGCCCCAAATGCCAGAACATCAGGAATACAGAAAATAAGGAAATTTTCCACAGCTGAGGAAGTAAATCTCCCAAACTAACTTTTTCACTAGTGAACAGTCATGACTCTGGAATTCCTTTCTCTGATGGTACAGTCATGTGTATATGCTGGATGGTGACATCTCCCCAGAAGCCTCAGAGATGCAGGGGCGATAGAAGGAAAAGACCAGGACCCACGGGTTGGTCTTCAAGAGAAGTATGAAAGTGAATCAAGTAATGAGGAAGGACTCCTAGAGTCCTGGGCTCCCAGTGCTCATACAACCAAGAAGTTAACAAGACAAAAGGAGACTAGCTCAATTTTCCAAGGTTCCCTCCCTAGTTCTCTGGTGCAATTTGTAAGAAGTACCATTGACTGAGCAGTTGCTACCATAGTGGACATTCTGCCATCTACTATCTCATTTTATACCTACCACAACTCAGGACAGCTTTAGATGAGAAACCTTGGCCACAGAGGCCATGTAACTTGCCCAAGTTACATGGCAGAACCAGAGATCTGCCACCATAGTCTGTGCTCCTCCCCCCTGTGCTATACTACTTCAGCTCAGCCCCAGATCTATACACTGGTCCTTGCCACGTGGTCTGGTGCTTAATTTCACGGATGGTTTTCAGCTTCACAAAATACCTCCTCAGTCTAATGGTGGACACCAGCGAAGAAAATGACCAGAACACTGTAAGGCTTCCCCCTACCCGAACTGACAAGGAAAACAGAAGCCCCCCACTCCATCTTGTAAAAGGAAACCCAGTTTTAATATAGAATCTGCTTGGCAAACATATCTAGGCAGAACTTTAGGACTAGAAGCACTTTGAGATTAAGTATCAGGGAATTTAAAGTGTTTTGAATGTCCTCAAGATGCTCCTTTTCACTCTGAAACTGGCTAACGGTTTCCTTCACTACATTTTTCCACATACCTATGTAGGTTTTGTCCTAAAAACTGGTGAATACAAATCAGGGTTTTGTAGAGACCACAGTGCATCTCTGCAAATAGCAACCTCAATTAATGTGTACCCCCTTACTTGTAGGCATAAGATTTCGGGTGTCTGAGTACTAACATCACACCCCACCCCACCCCACCCATATGATACATCAGTTGTCCACGCCATCACTTGGAATTATAATATGAGGCACTCTTTTGGGCAATCCATTCTGCTCCTTCTCTTGAGTTTGATTTTGAATTCAAAACTACCTTAGCTGATGTTGTGGTTTGAACTGTGTCTTCTAGCCACCCACCTAGTCCCCATTACCAAGTTCATATTTTGAAGTGTTAAACCCCCCAGTACCTCATAATGTGGCCTTCTTTGGAAATAGTGTGATTACAGATGTAACTAGTTAAGATGAGGTCATCCTGGAGTAGGATGGGCCCCTAATCCAATAGGACTAGTGTCCTCCAGCAAATTTAGACACAGACATGCACACATGGAGAGCACCAAGTGAAGATTGTAGTTACGTTGCCACAAGCCAAGGAATGATCAGGAGTTCGGAGAGAGGCCTGGAAGAGATCCCGCCTTGGTACCTCAGAGGGAACACAGCTCTGCCAACACCTTGATCTCAGATTTTTAGGCCCCAGAACCGTGAGACAAATTTCTGTCACTTGAGCCATTTGGCTCATGGTACTTTATTATGGCAGCCCTCGCAAACTAATACATTTGGCATTTTGACCCTGTCACCTATGGCTAGTCAATTACTTGGGCCATTTCCTCCCTGACAAGAGTTACTCTGGGAACTAGGGAGCGTGGTGGATGTTTTTGGAAGAGGACAATCTGAAAATTGTGGGTGTGTTACGTGTGGGAGGAGCAGGTGCAAAACATGGAAGATGAGGTCATGGTTTGCTTATTTTAAAAATTAGCTTAGAGTCAATCTGTAAACTTCATCCGCAGGGGAAAGAGAAGAGAATTCAGAGCTATGGGTTTGACATCCTTCTGCACCCCAGAACCAGTTCCAAAAGAAAAGCTGTGACTGGTCCCAACATCACAGACCCAATTCTGCTTTTTCACTGGGTGGTACTCCTCAGGTCTGCAGTTTGCTTCTAGCTAGCCCCCCACACCCCCTGCCGGCCCCTGCAAGCTCTGGGAGCCTCTTATTCTTTTCAGTGGTAACAGCCCCATCTTGCAGGCACAGCTGGTAACACACAGAGGAAAGTGTTTATTTGCAAGCTCTAATCATACCTACTCTAGGGAAGATGGGATTTTCTGGAATGTTCTATTTACTGTTGTTTGGTGGAGGGAGAACTGAGAAGGTTTTTTAGATGATTTCCTACAAGGAATACTTTGTAACCCCAGTCCCTTCCTCCCTCAGCCAGCTTTCTATAAGTAAACCAGATCTGTTCCCTGAGGACAGATTGTTCCAAATTGGTAACAAAATATGGAATTAATTAAAACATAACCCACACAACAAAACAAGTAGCCTTTTCTGAAAAGTAAAAGGGCCCATGTTTCACTTAAAATTTATTTTCCAGGATGTGACCATGACTGGACTTTTTTGCACGTTAATATACACTTTTTTTGTATATTAATAAACAGGAGAGGAGCATAGTCCAAAGAACATGGAACTCGGAAAGATGGAACTGGCTTCCAGGCCTGTGTGTTGGCTGTGTGACTTTGGCGAGTTACCTCAGCCACAGGAGGTTGATGCTATTTCACCAATAGGGTCATTTAGTGGATTAGATAAGATGATTTAGTTAATGTACTGAAGAGGCATCTGGCATATGGTAGCTGTTCAGTCAAAGCTAACTTTTAACACCCATCCTGGTCAGCCTCAGGCCATCTGAACCCAGAGCACAGCATGCATCTGAGAAGAGGCCTTTGAGTTGGAGGGACAGAGGAGAGCCTCAAACTTTAGCCATGCACTCATCAGGAAAAAGAATAATCTGCAGCCCAGAAACCAGGGTGATATCAAGTACTGAGCAACTGGGATGGCATGGGTATCCGCCAATTGGAAAGGATGCTGGTTCCCTGCAGGAACAGGGTTCGGGAGCCAGAGCGCACCTTTGAGTTACTGGCACGTGGGAAGCGTGTGATCCTAGGAGACAGGTCAGGGTGCTAAGCTGGCTGGAGGGCCCAAGGGGCTCTGGGCATTTGGCCAACTAGCACAGGAACATTACATTACAGACTGGGTAGACTTACTGAATCTCAGCCCTGACCACGAGTAACCTTCAGCATAGTACCCGTTGCCTTTAAATTGTGTGTAAAATTAAATTTAGGGTTGTTACAAGCTCAGACTCTGGTTACCCATAGCAACCTTGAGTTCTCTCTAGGTTATAGCAGATTTTAAACAGAGTGTCAAATGCTGCTAGAAGGTGTAACTTGGAGAAATGACTGCAGGTAGTGATGTAGGAGATACAGAAAGGAAGAATTGCCAATTATACCTTTATAATACAGTCTCTGGGGCCATTTAGCATGAGCGTCCTGCCTACCTGAATATGCCCAAAGGCACTGGTACTCCATTCAGGACTGTATATATAGTAAGCGGTGGCATTACCAGGACCTAGAGACGTTCAGGCAAGGTTAAACTATATTCAGCTTGCTGTTGAAGAAGCCTGAGAAGCGTGTAATACACTTTAGAAAGGTTTCCGTTACAGAAGGTTAAAAGGAAAACAAGTTTCAGCATTTAAAATTCAATTATCTGGAAAACTCGTCATGTGGAACAGCCCATTCCCCAAGGATGCCATGGAAATGAAGCATTGCAGGACCTTACGTTTGTGCCCGCTTCGTTCTTAGTCTGCTTTCCTCACATGCTATTTCATTGCATGACTGGTTCTGGAAGGAATCCCAGAGTTCATCCAAGTCCAACCAAGAAGGAAACTGAGGCTCTAGGGCATGGCTTCCTGGAGTCAAGGACCTTCTTAAGAAAAGAGCAAGGACTAGAATTCAGGCCCTCTGACTCAAATTCTAGAACTTTTTCTTCAACACTACAAACAGTAACCAATGAAATTAGATTTGTTTTTTTTACAGTTCACTGTTGACAGTAAAAACAAATAGGAAATCAAGTTTTTCTACATTTTTCTACCCCATTCTCTAAATGGATGGTAAAATTACATCTAGAACCTTCCTTCTCTCAACAAGAGTTTAACTTATAGCAGCTTCATGAATGTATCGTTGATGGCCAGCCGTTGGACTGGACAGTGGGAGCTTGATTTCCCTCAGGTCTGCAGAACCCTTCCTGGGCAAGGCTGTGGAGAATCTTCCACTGTTGCCTGCCATCTTGTGGCTGTAGTTGAGCACAGTGCTGGGAATTTTAGTCAAGTTTATTATTCATTAGGATGTGTGGGTTTCTCATCTGTGCTGTTAGGATGGTGTTTTCAGGTTTCAGAGCTCTTTCTAGAATGGCAGCATCTAAGCCATCCCTGAGCAGCAAGTGACTCAGGTGCCATCTCTCTCCACTCAGTGCCTGGTGTCCTCATGCTGTACCCCCCACCCTGTGGCGTCCCCTCCTAACACTCCCAGCCCTGGCCCTCAGGTCTCCCACAAGTCAGTGAGTCATGATCTGATTAACCCACTGTGCTAGGCTCTTTGTGATGGACGGTAGAGGAAGTTGGCCTTCCCCAGTCTGACTCAATCCTCCTGAAATCAGAAAGCTTCAAGGAAAGTGAATAGCAGGGCCACGTCAAACACTGCACTGGCCAATGGGGTGGATTTTTGGGGAAAACTGACAACTTTGGCATACCCTCAATCACAGCCCACAGGTAATGTCCAGAGCCACTTAGAGAGTAGCATTTCACAGTCTGCTTGTCCTCAGGAGGGAAGAGATTACACTAAAGGAGGCACTTCCCATGATTTAAAAGGGGTCGAGTTTCCAGAGCACCATCCAGAGATGCTCTTTCATTTCATCCCAGTGTCCTCTTCCCTCTGGTACCCATCAGAGCCTCCACTGGGTGACCGACTTCAGCCACGGGAGATGGAAAACCCCAATCTCCCACTTAAGACACTGGCTTTGAAACTTCTAGCATTACTTTTGGAAATTGTTGTAATTGTAATTGTAAACCATAAAGAGAAAAAAGACAAAAGCATCTTAGTTGGGATTACAGTGTTACTGGCCTGACTTCATGCCCTTCTCCTCCCCATGGGCACTCCTGGGCCATTTTCAGCCATTTCTTGACTTCTGCTCATTTTTTATGTCCAGGTATTAAATAAGTAATAATCGTTTTTGTTCTCTCATTTTGAGCACCAGATGCCCTTAAATGACTCTTGAGTCTTTCTTTTCCAAAAGGTCATTGAATTCCAAGCTTTGGCACCTGTTTTGGCCCTGATCCCTCTCATTCTTGTGATGCAGATGCAGGTAATGCATGGCCTGGCTCAGCTGTTCATAATCAACCTGTTTGCCAAGCACAGGCGTTAAAGGCTTGAAATTCCTGTCTTTTGGTGTTCGCCTGTGGGTTGCTGCCTCCTCCTGGAAGGGAATAAAATCTGAATATTTTCAGGACCCAAGTATATATAGCTCTCTCTTTGGTACAATTTATAATAAAACATGGGTTTTAACAGTTATATAGATTTCTTCATTGATTCTTCTTTGAAATCTGATCTTCCTCCAAAGATTTTGAGGGGTGAGTTTGTTATACTATATTTAAAATGGTTACGAAGATGTGACTCCTTGTGGCTTTTTGGATGACCAGGCTTATCTTTGTTGAAATGCACAAAGGAACATTCAAAGGTGTGAGTGTCCAGGTTCTTTGCATCTCAGAGCCACAGAAACCTGGATGCAGGGACATCAGCAATGATCTAATAGCTGACTCACCCCACAGTTACTTCGTTCAGAGCTCTTTCTTCACCAGAGAAAGGATGATTCTATCATTCACAATGTTTCCTGGACTTAAATTTAGCCCATTTCCTTTTGCAGAGGGGAAGGGAGACAGAGGGCCAGGCTGTTTTAATAGCTGAACTGCATGTTTTCTCAGCCCTTGGGCCTGACTTGAAGGTTAGTCCATTTAAATGGGGCCAGGATTAACTAAGAAACTTTTTTGACTTTTGTGATCACAGATAATACTTTCACAAATGTCCCCGAGGGAAGCTGAACTATTATGGGGAGAAGAAGGAGTGGGTGTCCTTAAAAATTCAGGCTCTGTTAAGTAC